AGTCGTTTTTATTTCATCACACCTTAGGCTACATATACCCAAAAAATGACGGAAATGTCTTCGGGCATTCCACAACGTCTTTAAATGTTAATAATTCCCTTCATGTAAATAGAGTTGAATAAGCCGAGTTGACACTGTTAATAAATTATTTGTTGCGGATTGAGTTCTTGAATTCTAAAAGCTGTTTTCTCGAGTGAATTTCTTGTTTGTTTAATGCCTGCGCGTGCTGCGCATTAGTAGACTTGAGTTTAATAATATGCCTCTTCTGATTGACGACTTTGGAGTCTTCCTGAGGAGCCTGGGCTGCCCCTACCCTTCCCGTCCCTGAGTCCACATTATAGTTAATAGTTCAGACTGGTTCAGAATTTCACGCCCTCATCCGCCTTCAAAATTCACGCCGTTTTCAGTCTGTTCCACTGGCTGCAGCGTCTGACCATCCAGGCTGTATTATATCTGGTGAAGTTCGTTCAGACACATTCGTTGTCAAGCTGTGAGTATTACACAGTCTCTGAACGGGCACCCCGTCCATCCACGCCCCGTTACAATAACATGTTTGTCGTTCGGAAGAGAGATTGCCAACTAGTTAACCTTTGTTAACTTGGGTGCATACGTATGCTCCCCAATACTGATGTTCGTGGAAATCTCTACCATAATAACCCTAACCTTAACCCTAATCCAAGCCCTAACCCTAACCTTAATCCTAAGGATTTCGGGTAATATTGTTTACATCGGTATTGGGGAACATCGGGTAGATCGCGTTAATTGTCATATGTTTTGTGTTGGGTATTTTTTCTTCTTCAAATTGATATAAAGAAATCCATTGGTGGTGGGGTTTATTGCGTGCATGATGGTTGTGTAAAATAAACATGCTGGAGAATGGGTAAGGAGGTGGACTGTGTCGTGGTAGACGGGAAGTGGTTTGTTATAATGATGTGAATTTTGGTGTTTTTTATAGTTAATTCATCTCTTGAATGAAGTCGGATATTGTCGTTGTAACATTGAAGTTGATTAATAATTTGTGGAAGGTGATTTGTCAAGATCCTGCACGTCATTTAGTGTGTGTTATAGACTCTGTTCCTGGTGAAAAGTGGCCCTGTGGAGGCTGTGGATAACTGGTGATACTCAAGACAACTCCTCCGTTGAAAGGAGAAGAAATCACTGAAACAAGCTATATTGAACTGATTGCAATTGGGGGCGCCATTCATTGTAGACGGTGCGGCGTTTATTTTTTTGTAACGCGCTGTCCTTATTTTGATCCCGTAAAAGTTTACGGTTTTGTGGTAGAAATATTGTTTATTGACCTGTCTTTGCGTTTTCAGTTATGGAATGGAAACAAAAGTGGAATAGTCATGGACAGAGCATCATTACAGACTTCTGTTAAAACGAAGATGTTAACGAAGGCCTGCATTAATTGGCAGTTATTGATGTTATACATCGTCAAAAAGAGGACTGAGGATTGTTATTGAGATCACCTATTATACACAATTAACTACTGTGTTTATTGAAATGTCAAAAAATATAAAAGTAATAAGACTGGGTGTATGTCAAAATCAAACTTAGGAAGTTCTCATTGGACTGATGTTGGATGAATCTTGACAGTACTGGCGCGGTTAGAGCGCCCTCTTGTGACTGAAGAAAATTTACGGGTATGACATCAGTCTAATTTGTAAACTTTTCTGAAGTACTTGCAATATAAGAATAGAATGCAGAAAACAGTGTGCGCACGCGAAGACTAGTAAGTTGTACTTGTGGAGATATAGCGTACGGCCGTGAGGAAAAGTACAATGATTAAGATGATGTCCGATTAATATGCAAGACTACAAGGGGTGTTTGTTGGCGCAGAAAATGTTATGAAGAAAAAAATAATGGGAACTTGTGCGACGGACAATTGAATCTAGTAGGGGAGGGGATGTGGGTTAAAAGAAAAATGAAGGCACAGTATTGAGCATTTGTTCCCGTCAACAGGAAAGGGTTTTTATTCAGTATTTGTGGCCGAGTAAGGACTGTGGCATATAACGTTTGATTTATGTAATTAAGCACACATTATTGAGATAATTATGATGCAAATGTAACAAAAGCTAACTACCGAAATGCTTTATAGATGTAGACTTATGTTATTAAAAACACAAATTATTCAGAGATAATATATGTTGAGTTTTGTTGTGATTTTTAAATCAATGATAATGATTTGCAGTGATTATTTTGGACTGGGTATTATTTGAAGTTTAGTGTTTAGATAGAGTGCCACTCAACTGTTTCATTTACTGCTAAGCAAATGCATATATAGGGTGAGTCAAAAAGTAGCAACCCAAATGTTGGGATGATGTGTGCGGCAGTTCTGCACATAGCTGTTATATGTAAATAGTGGGCCTGTAACTTTGGTGATAATGGTGAAGCAGAGAGGGTGAACCAAGTCAGCAAATTTGACAGCCATTGCATGAAGTTGAAACGTTGAAATTGCTGTGTTCAATGAGAAGTGTCCACTATACAAACTTTTTGCTATTTCTGCGGTTCCCAAGAACACCTAGCGAACGAGAGGGCATGTCGTGCCAGGAAAAAGAAATGAAATGTGTGTCACAAAGTTGGGCTTTCAAAATGTAGGACATGAAAGCCCAAAGTTCAGAATCTTTCTTTTAGTACAAGAATCATTCAGATCACCGATGTTCTTTTCACGCTACAGAATTTTAAACACAAAAAACTAATGTTTGAAAGTTCTGTCCATGGATGACAAAAAAGGTGGGTGTTGTTTCAGCAAGATGAAAACAATTCATAAACATATCTGTATGTGATCTGTTCATACATATTCATATACACATCTGTATGTGATCTGTTTTCGTTTTGCTGAAAGAAGTCTTATCTTCTTGTGATCCAAGGACAATGTTTTAAAATAGTGGTTGTGTTTAAAATTCTAGATTGTACTGTTTAAGAAATAGTAAAGTACCTAAGACGGTGATTTGAATGATTGTTGTAGTAATAAATGAAAGGTTATGGATTGGAGTCCTACGCTAGATTTTGACTGAATTAGGTAATTGTGTTACTGGAGTTAGGATTGGCTATATTCGTATGTGTTATCATGTACACTTTAATTTTTCGGGAGTTACATGGAACATCTTGTAAATAGTATATGGTTAACAATAGAGAACTGGGAAAGAGTTTAAATATGATGCAAACTAGCCCGACTGCATCTGGCCGTACAGTACTATCGCAAGCTGTGTAGTATGGCCAGACAACCAATGCTCCCCTAAACGGTGAACTCTGATGTAGTGATTTTCGGCTACCAATTGTGAGATTATTTTCTCATCCAGGACAGAAATTTACAAAGTTGAGGTTCCTAATTGTAGAGTAACTTATACCTTTTCGAAAAAGACATTCTTTTATCTAAAAATCTTCATCCATCTGACCAAAAAATGACTTTGAATTATCATTTCCCATGAATATTGCCCCGAAAATGTTCCCTTATTCGATGTAAAAATGGTGGTCGCATTGTAATGTATGCATTATGTGTGCGCGCTTGAGCAAGATTATGAATATGCATTGTTCAGTTCATGACCTTGTTTTTATATGGACAGCTGCCCCGTGCGCCTGACAAACGTTATGAAACGAATGCATATTCATCATCTTGCCCAAGTGTACGTGCATAATGCATACATTACAACGCGGTCCCCATTTTGAAATTGCATGAAGGAACATTTTCGGGATGATATTCATGGGAGATGATGATTGAAAGATGTTTTTTGGTCAGATGGATGAAGATTTTTAGATAATCGCACGTTTTTTTCGAAGAGGAACCTTAACTTTGAAAATTTGTGTCCTGGATGAGAAGATAATCTCCATCAAAATTGGTATGATAGTACTGTACGTCCAGATGGAGTCGGGCTAGATGCAAACGTAACAAAAGCTAACTACTGAAATGCTTAATAGATGTATGTAACAAAAAACACAAATTATTGAGAGAATTAGGGTTTTGATTAAAACATTGATCATGTGTACATGTATGAAATAATTATATGAGTCAAGATGTAAATTGCATGATTAAATATATGTTGAGTTTTTTTGTGATTTTTAAATCAATGATAATGATTTGCAGTGATTATTTTGGGCTTGGTATTATTTGAAGTTTAGTGTTCAGACAGAGTGTTAGGCCAAAACAAATAATAAGTCGGTCTCTGGTCAGCGCGCGCGTCGAATTTAATCATTTAGCTCCAACAGCGCCCTCTATTTTCGCACCTCCTCAATTTTTTTTTACCAAAGAGCACCAAGGAATGGGAAATAGCACCAAGGCAAATGATTGAAAGCACCAAGGCAAATTATGGAGGACACCAATGTACAGGAGGACACCAAAAAAGCAAAATAGTACCCACCTTGTCTGTACAATCCAAGCTTGAAGAAAAAAAAAAAAAAGGAAAAAAAACAAAAAAAACCGTGGGGCTGCGTCAATTCCGGAACTTTGGTCTGACCAGAGACCGAATATTTTTTTTTTTAGCCTTATTCAACTGTTTCATTTACTGCTAAGCAAATGCATGTATAGGGTGAGTCAAAAAAGCAGCAACCCAAATGTTGGGATGATTAGTGCAGTTCTGCACGTAGCTGTTATATGTAAATTGTGGGCCTGTAACTTTATTATATGGTTGGTGATAATGGTCAAGCAGAGAGGGTGAACCAAGTCAGCAAATTTGACAGCTATTGTATGAAGTTGAAAGCCCAATTCAGAATCCTTTTTTTAGTACAAGAATCATTCAGATCACTCATGTTCTTTTCACGCTATGGAATTTTAAACACAACCAATGTTTGAAAATCCGTTCATGGATGACAAGAAAGGTGGGTGTTGTTTCAGCAAAATGAAAACAATTCATACACATTCCTATGTGATCTGTTTTTGTTTGGCTGAAAGAAGACTTACCTTCTTGTGATCTGAGGAAAATGTTTTAAAATGGTGGTTGTGTTTAAAATTCTAGATTGTAGTGTTTAAAAAGTAGTAAAGTACCTAAGTGATTTAAATGATTGTTGTACTAAATGAAAGGTTATGCATTGGGCTTGCATATGCTAGATTTTGAAAGTGCTACATGCAGAACCTAACTTAAAGATTAGTCACGACATTTGGGTATTGCTTTTTTGAGTCACCCATGGAGTACGTAATTAAAAGCAATAATTATTTAGAAAATATTGGTTTGATTAAAACATTAATGTGGACATTTTTTAATAATCAAATGACTCAAGACTTTAGTTTTATGATTCAATAGATGGTGAATTTTGTTCTGATTTTTTAAACTATTTGCAGTGATCAGTTTTGATTTGAAGTTGACTCCTCAGGATGGCTGAGATTCCTCAGGATGGTTCAGCCTTTAATCTACTGCCAAGGTAGTCTTTGATGTGGAGGCTTCAGAGTCATCGGTGATGCTTTAAAATTAAAAAGAATAAAAATTGAATGAGCAGTGAAGTGAAGATTTAAATTTGAATATGTGATGTTAATTAAGTTAAGTTTCAGAGAAGAAATAGATTGTGTTATGTAGCACTTCGAAGTTTAATTGAATTAGATTGAAATATTAATCTAAGGTGTTAAGTGGTAGTCATGGTAAATTCTTTGTTTGTAAGATTTAGTGATACATGCATTAAGGAAGAAGTTAGAATTAGTGGTGGAAAGACAGTTTGAAATGAAAATTTGGTGGTGGAGTATTTGATTTATGTTTGTGTGATAAGTGGTGAAATGTGGGATATAATTAAGTCTTAGTTTATCTTGTTGGATTAGTTGGACTGTTATGCCCGGAAAAAAAACAGAGAAAAAAAATCATATTACAGATTGATGCGAATATATAATTTGTACTTCATAAAAGGGGGGGGGGGAGGAAGGGAATTGGGTGGGAGGAAATATTTGATGGGGCAGTCAAAATGAAATTGTAAGCTTGTGTATGTGTGTGTGGACCTACTGTACTGTGAATGGGCTGGAAATAAGTGAGTAGAACAACTAATTTTTTGTGTATGAGAAATTTGTGGAACTGCAGAATAGTGTATGTATAACAAATACAAAGACGTTGGTTGTAGACTATCTAGGGTTTTACAAATGCACATGTGCTGAGCATGTTTTCTGTAAAGTATGAATTTGTATAGTGTTTGATTGGTGTGAATATTTTGTGAATCTTATCAGATAAGAAATTGAATAGAACATGTCGATAAAGTGCTGGGGATCAATCGGGGGGGGGGGGGGGGAGGGGGAGGGGGAAAGGAAGGGGAAAAGTTTTGGGGAAAGTGTCTTACTGTGAATGTGGGTGGGGGTGTTGAAACTGTTGAGGTACATGTTTTGATGTGTGGTGTAGGGGATGTGGGTATGTATCGGTTAGATTATCTTAATGATGTGATGTAGTTATTAATGCAGCTCGAATTGTTGTTATTGGAATTCTTTTGTTAGGTTTAGATGAGTTATGATAGTGACAAGAGATACTCAGTGAGAATGAAGTGCAAAAAGATAATTGAATAGGATGTGGAAGCAAGGGCGGATCCATAACACAATTTTGGTCCCCCCAAAAAGTGGGTCCAAAAATTACACGGCGTGGGGTTCGGGGCTTGCTCAAGGGCCACGAACAAATTTTGGATTCTAGATGCTCTGTGGTGCGATCTGAGGCAATTTCTGACCACTTTAGCCAATGTTTTTTAAGGAAGAGATGGTGGTGTACTCATTGCCTGCCTTTATTGTGATGTCACATCAAAAAAAAAAAAAATTGGTTTCGTTTTTTTTGGGGGGGGGGAAGGCCCCCTTTGCCCCCCCCCCCCCCCGGATCTGCCCTTGTGTGGAAGATCAGTATGAAATGTGAGGATGAAGCGGATGTGAATATTGGATAAATTGTACAAGTATGTGGAGGGTGCATGGTTGCCTGATGTGGGTTGAATGAAGTGGACTAAATATGGAAATGTAATGGTAAAGGGATAATGGAGTCAATTGTTGAAATGAAGTTAAGTTGAAATACAAGTGTAAATACTTACTGTTTGATACTCTGCACAACTTTGGTTGTCATGTTGTATGTCATTTGAGCACACATTGGCAGCTGGAAGTTGTGCAAGGATTTGATGTTTGCGAAGTCGAGGAGCATTTGCTCAGGCACATAGAACTCTTCGTCAGTGTCAGAGAGAAGAGTTACGTTGAATCTGTAGAAAATAGTGATTAAGTTTGGTGGAAATGATATGCAGTGTTAAATTAGAATGAAGAAGAGTTTCATAACTACTAAGAAAAAGTGTGAGATTTTACATTAAATTGACACAAGACGGTGTCGGAGCTGGGGGTTGGTGAGATAATAATAGGCTTGCCCTGAATCAGGTGATATAGTAACCGTGTTTGGTCTGAAAATGCCAAGTTGAGACAAGCAAAGCATTATATTAAAGGTAAGATACAACTGGGGGGAGGGGCGTAGGGGGGGGGGCGACGGCCCCCCATGAAACCTTGTCGCCCCCCCCCCCCCAGTTGCCTCTCCCACTGAGATTTTGAGTTTGTAAAAAAATTATCATTGATCTACATGATGCCCCCCCCATGAAATGTTCCACCACTCCAGGCCCTCCCCCCCCCCCCCCCCAACTGAAAAATTCCTGGCTATGCTACTGGATACAACGTTTGCAAACATCACAAAATGAAATGATTAAATTATGAGAAAATGCCTTACTGCATTGTTAGGCAATGACAGTTGAAAGCATCCTGTAAAAATGTGGGTCATGGTATGGTGACATTTTCCAGAAAATTTGTATTTTTCCAATGGTGGTCAGCTGACTAGCGTTGGAGAAAACTGGCTTTGTTGAAAAGATGCTCGTAATTTTTACTAATTAGTTATTGTGCATCTTTGCTATTGATTACACATCTGTAAAGGGGTACAAGCCTTGTAGACTGATTCTCTGACCTTACCATCCCTGAAGTCTATAAATTGGTTTTATTTATCTTAATTAGTGTTTCATGGGGTGAGGGAACCAGACTACAAGAATGATAATTGGCTTTCTTGAGTTTTTTTGCATGCATGAGCCCAAAATGTGAATTAAGTCATTTAATAATATTTGCTATACCACACTGATTCAACAAATTCATTTATTTCTGATAATTGCAGCAAAAGCAAATGTTGTACATTGCCCAGTGTTCCAGTTCAACTTATCTTGAAAATGCCTTACTGTTTGAGTTTAGCATGTGGAGATTGATTTTGGAAGAGCAAGGTAAGATGGTATTAAAAAAATTATGAAAGGGGTTAGGGTAAAAAAAAAAGGGTTGGATGATTGCTTTGTTAATGAATGAGACTTTTTAGCATAAAGCAGAGCATCTATACAGGCAAGAGGCAGTGTACGATATTTTGTAAGGATTTGTATAGTTGTTAGAAGAGATGTAATAAGAAGAAAGTTAGAATGAGAAAAAAAGGTGTGGTCTTACCTTTCTTCACAGTATGCAGTGATGTTGATGTCTTTTGTGTCAGTTGCAAGTTGCTCCTGTTGAATTGGAAGAATAAAGACGAGTAAGAAAATACTGAATGAGTGGTATGTGTTTGTGAGTTTTTTTTTTTAAATAAGACAATTGTGTTTTGTTAAAATTTGGGTAGTTTGTAGACGCTGTGATTTGGTAATTTTTGGGAAGGTTGTATATTTAGGAAAGTTAATGGTTAATAGTGGAATATATGAAGTTGTTTTGCACTTTTGTAATAATTTTCTTCTCCACAGTCATATGAGAGGAACATTGACAAATGTCATTGTCGGACACAACCAATGATGGAGCAAATTGGAGAGGGGATCAGGAATGGGTGTACCATGGGTTTTGTGAGTGTAAAAGGTGTGTGTCTTTTTTCTCTCTAGGTAATTAAGTTTAAAATTGTATTTGTGGGGGAAAAAGGGTGGGGGAATTAGCAGTTTGTTTGTATGAAGGGATGTGTGGATGAAAGTAGTAGTCTATGAAATGAAATTATATTGGTGGGTTCCATTGTATTGATTGTAAATATTTTTGAAAATTAATGAAAAATGAAATGATGGGTTTTGAAAAATATGTTAAAAATTGATTGCTTACCTTGATATTTGTTTCAGGTGTAGTGTTGAATGAGATCTGGCCTTGATACAAGGATGTCTCAACGTTGGTGACTTCTACCATAGATCTCATGGGTGGGACCGGAGTTGATGACATGTGATTCCAAAGGTTCACAACGACTTTGTTCGGGCATGATGTTTGTGAGAGGTGGAGTGTCTTCCGTTTCCAACCTGTGGCCTCCTTGACCGGTGAGACCTGAAAATTATAAACCACAGTTAATGTATATGTTTTGCACTGTCTGTGGTAAAGTGTTGTTTGTTGACAATATATGTATTATTATGTGAGGTAGAAGAGTTTGATACTTATGGTTTGTTAAAAAGTATGTTGTGAAGGGAATGTGTATTGAAAGGCTTAGATAAGAAGAATTGTAGTATGATGGTTTTACTTACATAGGTCAATATGCCTTTGATGGATGCGCGTCGGTATGGTGGTAGCTGGAGTGCTTCCTCGACGCTCACAGGGTCAGCGTGGAAGAATTGTTCTTCAATTTCAGCCGGGATGAAGAATGGTTGACAGTGGAAAATCTGAAAGAAAAAATGGCAGTAAAAAAATAATAGTACAGTTGTGAAAATAGAATGTCCATGGATCACCTTGGGAGGCTAGTTTTACAACACCATTCCAAGCAGTCAATATTTGTATAAAAAGCTTATAAAAATGTTATTTAAGTAAGGGTGTGTAAGTAGTATGACTGAAATTAACTTTTTAAAAATCAAAAGAATATAGAATATACCCCAATATGGAAATAAATGGCAGGGATTAATATTTTATGGAAATTAGATATATTTTGGTCAAACTTAAGGGTGGCATCTACCTACATTTTGTTCTCCATCGTTGCACTGATTTATGTAACATGGTTGCGTGCTATTTCCAAAAAAAATGCAGACTAAAGTTAAATATTCAACTTCAGTGCTGGTCGATTATTGAAGTTTGTAGAGAAATATGCACATTTTATATAAAGTGTTTGAAACTTTGCATACTTACTCGGGTCTTTGCATTGACTTTGATGGCACTTTCGTGGTTTGCTAGCTCAAATGAAGTATAGCCTACGAGTTTGTAGTAGTTGCCAACCTCGAATTTGGCTTGTGCTTCATGGAACATGTACAACGGTTTCACTTGGTGATCACCTGTGATGCATCTCATTACGTACATCGCTTTAGGTCGCTCTTCTGCTGCTGTGATGATTTTAATGTTGACAGCTGACATCTGATAATAAAAATGTGATAATACTTAATTTAATATTGTGTAAAATGCACATGTGTATACTTCACCAATGTTAAAATAAGCTCGCTGTAATGAAAATATACACATTACTGTATATATTGTTTAATGTAGTTTATTATTAACTAAATATGATTTTAACAGAGGTTTTGTTACATCTTTAAAATGTTTTGCACCAGGTGCAGTAACATAATAAGTCTGATTTAAGGATTCCATTAGTTGTTTGGCTATTAGTGCAACACCTATTGTTAATTATTGCATGAATGTACTTTTGTTTTTGTTAGTATTATTGTTTTCAGGAAATTGTTCTCCACAACTGTTTGTCAAAATGAAAACACAAATGAAAATACATGAATGGAGAACCCACTGAAGATGCTTTTTTTGTAATTATGAAGTCATCATGGGTTGTGTGACGTACGTCTGCACTTGAAAGGTTAATAATTTAATCTTTCAAATTTAAAATATAATTAAATTAACATGAGAGACATGAAGTTGAATGTTGTGGGAATTGACATGATAATACATGATCTGTAGTTTATCTTTTGTGTGTCAAGTCTTGTAAGCCTTCCTTCCAGTTGATATCAGAAGTGCCTAATAATTTGAAAGTGGAAAAAGATATGGACTTGTTGTCAACGGTGTTAGTCTTTGGGTGCGTTCAGTGTTCCAGAAAAATGATTGATGATGCCATTAAGTGTTTGAGCACCCTCTAGGGGCAGGTAAAAAACAGTTCAAAATGTATTTTGTCATTACTGACAGTCATTAAGATGAAGGCCAAGTTATAAGTTATCTGTAAGTTATAAAGTAAATTTCTTCATTGTATGAAGAAAAAATGTAGTGTGAGGTTGCAACATGTTTTTGTGAGGAAAAAATGATGGGAGCTTGATAATTGACAAAGGATTGATGAATAATTTTAGTAAGTTGATGCAGCTGCAATATAGTCAATCAGGAATTTGACATATAGGGCTGAAGGTAAAACTATGTAAGTACATTTTAGATTCTAAGGGGTCCTAAAAATGTGACTCTGATCTGTATCTGTAGCACTAAAATGGTTATTTTTCCCTCTAGTTTCCCAATATAGATTGCATGGAAAATATCTCATTCATTTGAATATGTTTGTGAGTTGGGTTTAGTAGACAGGAGAAAGATCATAACAGAGAGTCTCATTTTTTAGGCCTGTTAGAATCTCGGATCTACAAGACAGTTTAAGCTCCACATGTCAAATTCTTGATGAGCATGGAGGTGGAGTTAGTCAAGGTAAATGAATAAATGTAAATGATAAGAGATTAATGTGAAGTATATAAGGTTAATAAATGAAAGGTTTGTGGAAACATCATGTGTGAATAATAGTTCTGAAAAGAACAAAAGGTATCAACATGATGTTCTGGTCAGGTGACTGTGTTGAGGAGAGTGCCTAATAAAGTCTAAGAAAGTAACCACCTAAGTAGCAAAGGGAAATTGATGAAGTGTGAAGTTACCTCTTAGTGGATTTTAAGTAGCTGCTATGGGAGTGTGGAGCAAGGTTATGGTGTGTCCACTGAAGTAGAACAGTTGGATTGCACTCTTGGTAGGAGGAGGAGCTATAGGAGACCCATTGGTCTGGGGTAGTGGTAGATCGAGAGGACCTAGGGTATAGGAGATCCACCAGTCTATAGGAGCGGGAATCAGATGTCGTTGAAGTGTGAAGTTGCATCCTATAGTGGATTAGTAGGTGATGGGAGCCAAGAGCAAGCTAATGGACGTGCTCACTGAAGTGGAACAGTTGGGTTGCAGTCTCAGTAGGAGGACCTAGGGTATATGAGACCCATTAGTCTGTAGTATTAGAGGACTTAGGATATAGAGTCCCATCATTGTATAGGAGTGGAAGTCAGATGTTGTTGAGGTGCCACAATGTCTTGAGGAACTGTGTTGTGCTTGTGGATCTCAATGGTTCCTCATGTCGATGCGTTGTGGATTCCAGAACTGGATCGAGGCAATGAGTTTGGCTGCATGCCAATCAACATTGTGATAGTTAATGTGGGAATGTTTGACAATGGCCGATATGTGAAAATGTCTTCGTCGTCCATGTGGTCTGTACATGTTCCTTGAGTCTTGTGGGAAGGTTCCAACCAGTTTCCCTAATGTAGACTTTGCTGCATTTACATGAAATGCGGTAGACTGTTGGCTTGGAGGAAGTGTCCTGCGAGTGTGGAGGATGGCTTGGAGCTTGTCGGAAGATGAGTGATACACCTTGACACAGCTTGTCGGAGGATGTGTTGGAGATCAATGATGAGAAGCTGGACCTTTGTATGGAAGAGTGACTGAGGGAGACACAGTGGTAGGACCTTGGGTAGAGGAGACCCCTAGGTTCAGGTTTGCTGATTCAACCGCATTAAGATCATCAAACCTGACCACTAGGTCTCCTCTGGGGAAGGTCCTTCCACTGTATCTGCCTCACACTCAGTCACTCTTTTGTACATATGTGCAGCTTCTCATCATCTCCAATGCATCCTTTGACAATTAGCTGGTGTCAAGGTGTATTACTCATGTTGCAAGAAGTTCCAAGGCACCCTCCACACTCACATGGACAAGCAGGACTCCTTGTCCAAGCAGGGGGTCTACTGCATTCCATGTAAATGTGGCAAAGTTTACATCAAGGAAACTGGTTGGAACTAAGGTTCTAACCAGGCTAAAGGATTAACACAGACCACATGGATGATGAGGAGATTTTGACAAATCGGCCATTGTCAAACATCCTCACGTACATTAACGACCACAAAGTTCTTTGGGATGCAGCCAAACTGGCATCAGTCTGATCCAGTTGTGGCATCCATGATGCATACGAGAAGCCATTGACATCTGGTAAGCATGCAAAGACAGTTCCACAAGACATTGGGTTTCACCTTAATAACATCTGGGTCCTACTGCTACAGACTGATTGGTCTCCTATACCCTAAGTACTAATGGGTCTCTTGAACCCCAGGTCGTCCTTGTACTGAGACTGTAACTCTACTGTTGCACTGGTGACTGCGTTATGTTCCGACACCCCTATATGATGTTCCGACAACCTGGATTGTGTTACTCCCGGTTAGGGTTAGGGTTAGGAATAGGAATATGTGCAGTCGGAACATAGGGGTGTCGGAACATAGAGGTGTAACTGTTGCACTTCATTGGGCATTATCCAAGCTTGCTCTAGGCTCCCATCCAGCTACTTGGCATCTACTAGGATATGCAACTTCACTCTTGAAAGGCATCTAGTCCCCACTACTACAGAGTGATGGGTTTCCTATACTGTAGGTCCTCTGCTACTACCTAAGACTAATGGGTCTTCTATACTGTATAGGTCCTATAGTTATACTGAGACTCACTGCTGCAACCATACTGTTCCACTTCAGTGGGTAGACCAAGCTTGTTCTAGGCTCCCTGTACTTGGCACCACTAGGATGCAACTTCACACTTCAATGACATCTGGCTCCTGCTTCTACAGACTGATGGGTCTCCTATACCCTAGTTCCTCTCGATCTACTACTACCTAAGACTAATGGGTCTCCTATACCCTAGCTTCTGCTTCTACTGAAAGTGTAACATGATTAATTGATCCACTTCAGTGGGCACACCTTAATTTTGCTCCAGGTTCCCATAGCAGCTATGTAACGTACTTCACACTTCATCGATTCGCTTTTGCTACTTAGGTGGTTACTTTCTTAGACTGAGAATTTAGGCACTCTCGTGCTGGTCAGAGCTGGAATGTGACTTCACAATTTTAGTAAAGGGAAATAGGGCCTAGGCCTATGTTCATAAGTAATTAGGGATAGGCCTATATGGTGTACTTAACACAATAATACTTTTGAACAGCCTTTGTCTTTAGTAACTTAGACTTAGAGTTGTTAACTGCATTTGGTGGTGAGCATGCATGTTGAGCGATATATTAATACTCAGGTGATATATGTAGCTCCATGGTTGAGCATATATCTGACTAATTTAGACCCAACTTATTGACTTTTTAACTTTCGGACATGGTCTGGCGATGTCCGAATGTTAAAAAAGGCGATAAGTTAAGGAGTGGACTACGTTATTGAGCTCGTACATGAATAGCACGTGGTGAATATTGCTCATGGGCCCATGGGTTGAAAATTTGGTCTGAAAGAAACATGAATTTTTCATTAGAAAAAAACACTGGAAACTGTTTATTTGGCTTTCCAATGATGTGAGACAAGTGCCAAAAAAGATGAGATGAAAGTTACCTTTCGCTTTAGTGTAGTTGTTGGCCAAGTTGAAGTAGAACTTTTGTCAGGCTTAGATCATATATGAAGATAGCGCTAGATCGAATTGGTTTGTTTCTCAAAAATCTGTTGTCAAGGGGAGGTATACGTAGCGCATGCGCGAGCGATTTGGAAATCTGCCAATTTCACGGAGCTGCTGAGGAGAAACAGTTGCTTAGCACACAAATGTTTGGCTAATAAAGGCAGGTAAGCAGCCAAAACTCCAGGTAATGTATTTTGCTCGTGATTATAGTATTCAGTTGTTGTTTGCTTTGCATGAAAATCACATGGACTTTTGGCTAATAACCTTAACGAAACTTCACCAAACTGTTTTGTGCTAAGTGAAATGTTTGTGCTTAGCAGCGCCGCGAAGTCGGCCCAGATGTGGACTTGGTTATTGGTTGCATTTCTAAGTTATGCAAATTTGGAATGTTTAATCAAAACGATACTAGGCGTTTAATACAAACGCAGAGTGGTCGGGTAGAAAACTATTTTATGAAACAACAAAGGTCAGACAATTTACATTTTTAAATACAATTAGTTATTTGTTTAAAAATTCACTTTGTTTAGGTAGTGATCAATGTGTGTATATATTGATTTTTTAAACACGTACAAGTAATTAATTTTCCAGTTTGATTACGCCATTATAAGAGGGGTAGTGAATACTGATGTTAGTGGGAGAGGATACATGCTCATCGAAGTTAAAATATGTGACGCTTGAAAATTAATATGGAATAAGTGTG